TGCCGCCGCTCTCGTTCCCGGGACCAAGCGGCGCGGCGGGGCGACGGGAGCCCCGACAAGCGGGGAAACCGAGGCCTCCGGGGCTCCCAGCGCGGCGTGCGGCGGAGACCTGCCGTCCGCAGATGCGGGGTAAACGCACGGAGTACGAGGGCTGGAGGTGCGGGGGGAGAGCGTCGTCGGGGTCCGGGGCGGCGAGATCCAGCGGCTCGTCCGAGGGGAGGGGCGCTGACCGTGCTGCGAGCGCATCCCCAGACCTGGATTTCCGCCCGAGGCACCGGGAGGGACGGGCGGCGCGCACCGGACCCGGGCCCCGCCGGGAGCTTGGTTGTCACGCGCAGCCCAGGGCCGGGAGCCCGTCCACAGCAGAGGACCCCGGGGACCCCAGCGAGGCCCTAGCGTCTTGGGAGAGACAAGCACCACGCAGCACAGAGATGGAGGTGCAACAGGGTGACCGCATCCAGAGAGCCGGGGGGCATGGGTGCTACGGAGCGAAACCTGCGTAAGAAGGGCTGGCATGTGCCCGCGCGGGGCAGGGTGCTCCAGGCAGCGCGGGCCGCAAGTGCAAAGGCCCTGAGGCAGGAGCGACACTGACCTGCAGGAGGAAAGGGAGGATGGCCCGGGTGTGGTGTGGCCTTTTTTTCAGGGTGTGGGATATTAAGCAGGGTAGGGACACTGTGTGGGGCACGTTCTGAAAGACCCCTTTTTACCAGGTGTTTGTTAAGTGGAATTTAGATAGACCAAGGGTAACAGGAAGGACGTGCCAGGCGTAGGGCTCATGGGCAAACTCCTGGAGGCTGGGCCCCACCGGGGTTTATCGCCTACAAACAACTCACTGCCTGCACCGTGTGGCTCTCTCAGCAGCTCCGGGCCTGCTCTGCCGGATCCTTGCTCTGCGGTGAGTGTCTGCGTCTCCCCCAGCACACGGCCCTGCCCAGGAGGGCTCGGTGGCGGGTGGGGGTGCATCAGAGCACGGCGGAGCTGGGGTGGTCCTTCAGCAGCGCTAGGAGGGGGCCCACCTGCTGAAGGTCACATAGTCCGGCAGTCTTGCAGGTGGTGTTCAGGCCTCTCCGTGGGGACGGCCCAGGTGGTGGCCGAGCCTGTGTTCAGACCCATGCCTGCCTGCCGTCCTTCCCTCACAACTCACTCACGTGTGGCAGGAAGGCGGTTGGTGCATTTGCTCAGGTGGCGGCCTCAAGTAGGCCTCCTCAGGACAGGGAGGCAGGTAGTCACCGTGCCCTCTCAGTGGACAGAGCCCAGAAATGAAATCTCCGGCGCCATGGGGCAGGGACATGGCAGATCTGAGGAGAGGGTCTTCCTGATGGAGGGGAGATGGGAGGCTTCGAGGAGCACTTGGGCTTGGGCCGACTCTGCCTTGTTTTGAGAAGACGTTTTTTCTAGGAATCAAACGCATTCACTGTAAAATAAAGGGGAGGTGAGAGACCTAGGAGATGAGAACCAGACACCTCCTAGACAGGGCTCAGCAGACTTTCCATGAAGGGCCAGATTGGCTCTGTGGAGACTACTCAGCTCTGCCTTTGTGAAAACAGCGGAGATAGAAAGGGGTGGATGTGGTTGCATGTCAATAAAACTTTATTTACAACAACAGGCAGAGGGCCAGGTTTGGCCCCCTGGGTGGAACTTCCCCATCCCTGCTCCAGTGTAGCCTCTGTCACAACATCTCAGGGCACCCCGGGCTCCTCTTCACGTGCACCCCTTTCCCTGCAGCTCCGGTGTGGGCGTGGCTACCCAGGTGCGTGGTGTCCACTCAGGCGTGGCTGCTGACAGCCCCAGCAGGTGAGGCCAGCCTTCCTGGGACCCTGCGCACCCTAAAGCCTCCCTTTGGCACCGCAGCAGCCCCGGTGACTCCAGGGCCCTCCCTCCACCGTCAGGCAATGAAGCAGGGGTCCCTGCCCTCGGAGCCTTGCCCAGCCCCCTGCTGCATGTCCAAGACCACGGCTGCACGTCCCCAGACCAGAAGGGCCGTTGACAGCGTGTCAGTGGAGCTCCTGCTTTCCACATGGGGGACAGAGGCCAGCTGGGGCCACAGCAGGGCAGCTGCCAAAAGTTCATTCTTGTCCTGACCTCGGTAGCCCAGCTCCTACCGGTGCTGCCCCAGAGCAGCCCATGCCCCAGCTTGCTGCTGCCCTCTGAGAGGGGGCTCTGGGCTCGACCGTGCGGTGGGGGGTGTCGGGGTGCTCGACCGTGGGGTGGGGGTGTCGGGGTGCCTGCCTGGCTAAGGCCCCCCCCTCCCCTTGCCATGTGTTCTTACCAGCACCCAGCCCGCCGCGTCCACAGCTGGAGCCGTGGCCCCCAAATCCTCCGCACTTCCCAGCAGCCGAGGCGAGTATGTGGTGGCCAAGCTGGATGACCTCATCAACTGGGCCCGCCGGGTGAGCCCCTGACCCCTCCCGCGTCCTTCAGGCCTCCCACCACATGCTCACACGTGCTCACACACGTGCACACCTGCCCCTGCCCGCTGCTGGCCCTGATGTCCTCTCGGTGCCCACGCCATGCTTCCTGGTCTCTCCCTCCACCCCCAGGGAAGATGACCTGCCTCCCCTCTGCGGATCTCCTGTTTCTGTTTATTCATGCAGAAGTGATTTTAACTGGGAAAGTGGTGTGTCCCTGGAACAGTGGCTCCTTCCTGGGAAAAACCCGAAAACACTCCCCCGCCCCCAGTACTCACTGGGGACGGTCTGCGTGTTGTGTGCACGTCTCTCTCCCCGATTCACAGGGCAGTGGCTCCTCTTGGTGTGTTGGGGGTCCCAGGGGCAGGCCGTTCCTGTGTGTCTCTGTAACCGATGGGGCCATGGCGAGCGTCCCGCCGGGTGTCCCCTGCAGCGTTGGTCCTAACTGCACATCTGCGAGGCTGTCAGGGTCAGCCGCCTGTGTAGCCCAAGCCCGATGGGGGGGCAGGCAGGACCCACTCCAGGTCCCCGGCTAGGCAGAGAGACAGCAGAGAAGGCTCTGGCAGAGGAGTCAGCGGGAGAAAGGAGCCACTGGATGGGTGGAGGCAGTGGTCAGAGGGCAGCGGCATCCAGGAAGCCTTCCTGGAGGAATAGGCACTGGGAGCCCCTGGACACTAGGAGTGTTAGGAAGGAGCCCCTCGGAGGGGCTGAGCCCCAGGGTCTGACCTGTGCCACACGGGGCTCTCCAGGCACTGGGGGCGGCGCGTGCCTGTGTCGGAAGGATGGGACCTAGGACGTGCGGGTCACGTGGGCTGGGGCTCTACTTTCTCGGCGACGTGGCTGCGGGAAGTGTTGACCCACAGGCGCAGCTTGCTTTACCTTCCTGTTGAGCACCCTGGGCCGTGACAGCGTCGGAGGGCCCTCTGGGGCCTGGAGGTGGCTTGGCTGCCGCGGGGAGGCCTGGCCGATGGGCTTTGAGCTGGGGCGGGTACCGTGCCCCCGGGCTGAGCACCCTGCCCCCGCAGAGCTCCCTGTGGCCCATGACCTTTGGCCTGGCATGTTGTGCCGTGGAAATGATGCACATGGCCGCGCCCCGCTATGACATGGACCGCTTTGGCGTGGTCTTCCGCGCCAGCCCGCGCCAGTCCGACGTGATGATTGTGGCCGGCACGCTCACCAACAAGATGGCCCCAGCGCTCCGCAAGGTAGGCCCGGCCCTGAGGCCCACCACCCGCCCGCCAGCCTCGAGCCGCACCCAGACGCCGCCGTCTCTTCCAGGTGTATGACCAGATGCCAGAGCCACGCTACGTCGTGTCCATGGGGAGGTGAGTGCCCGCGACACGCTGGCGCGCCTCCTGCCCATCTCCGCTCCCTCTGCCGCGGTCACAGGGGGCATCTGTGCCCTCAGGACACCCTGCGGCCCCTCCCCAGGGCGGCACCCCCCCAGGGCACCCCTCCTGTGCCACTCAGAGTCGCCCCTGTTCTGCCCCTGCTTCGTGGATGTAAATGGTGCCCTGCTCTGTGGGCTGTCTGCACACTCCTCGCCCTCCCTCCTGGCACCCAGTCGCTTCCCCACGCCACCAGCAGCTGCTTCCTCACCTCACTGTTCTGAGGTAGAACTCGGGCCACAGAGTCCACCCTGTTCAAGTGCGCAGTTCCGTGATGGTCCATGTAGTCACGGTGCTGTCAACTCTAGCCCCTAGTTCCAGAACATTCCATCATCCTCCAAGAAAACCCCGCCCCCATCAGCTGTCACCTCCCCCCCAGCCCCCGCCCCCGAGAGCCCCCTTCCCGTCCGTGGATGAGCCTGTTGTTCTGGGCGTGTCACCCACGTGGACTCACACCCCATGTGGACTTCTGTGTCTGGTTCCCTCCCTGAGCATCTGAGTGTCGTGGGCTCGGGGTCCGTCCATTTGCTTCTGCTCTCCCTGATCCCACAGAAGGCCTCGTTCCCTTTTCTGGGACTCCACATCCCATTCCTGCCCATTCCTGGCACCTGTTTGCACCTGAAGGCAGGTGTGCGTTGGGGGCAGGGCTGGGGGTGGCCAGTGTGACCCTCATCATGCCCCCCCTCAGCTGTGCCAACGGAGGAGGTTACTATCACTACTCGTACTCTGTCGTGAGGGGCTGTGACCGCATCGTGCCCGTGGACATCTACGTCCCAGGTGAGCCCACCCCTCCCATGTCACAGGCCCCCGCACCCCCCCAGAGGCGGTGGGCTCCCCCCTTTTCAGGATGAACAGATGTAGGTCCAAGTAGAAGAGTGAAGCCCCAGCCTTCTCCTCCCTTGTCCCTTGAAGGTCTCCCCCACTGAAGAGTCTTGGGTTTTATCCAGACGTGGGCCCAGGCTGGTGCTGAAGGCTTAGCCTGAGCTGGGTGGGACCACGGATCCTCGGCTTTCTTTAAACTACACTTCACATGGTTCCACCTAATAGACACAAAACCCACGGAACACAGTTAGAAAACAGAGACTGGTTCTTGGAGACCAGGACCAGTGTGCACGGGACCTCCCTTGGACCCCAGATCACCAGGGTGGTCACATTGTGCAAATAAAAGTGCAGGGTCCCCAGTTACTTCTGTCCGGAAAGCAAGGAATGTTTGCGACACGTTCATACTGGAGAAGTACTGGTTGTCTTTCTGAAGCCCGTGTTCGGCTGGCCACCCTCGGGCCCCAGGGCCTCTGCCCCCACTGTGTCAGAGGTCAGGGGTCAGCAGGTGGTGCTTAGCCTGCAGATGAAGGCCCCGTGTTCTTGGGCTCTCAGTGCCGCATGGAAAGCCCGACCTGAGGCCCGGAGAGCAGAGGACACTCAAGGCCCCGATTCCAGGTTGCCCAGGAAAGTTTAGGTCACGTTCTGGCGCCCCTCAAAAGGACATTGGATGGTGGTGATTTGTTTAGTGTCCTGCAGATATTTCCTGAGGGCCTTAGACACACCACGCCGCAGGGCGGCCCCCATTGCGGGGGGGGGGGGGGGCAGGGCCCGTCTGGTGGGGGAGGGCACCTGGGACTCCACCCTGCAGGGCGAGGCCAGGCCCTGCTCAGCTGCCTTGTGGGGTATGTGACCGGGGGCAGATCTCCACAGGGCCTTGGCCCCTCCATCAGGCGGTACTGGGACGGTACTGCAGGATGCTGGGCCCAGGGCCGGACGTGCTCGTGGTTGGCCTTCCAGGCCCCTCGGGTCCGTTGCTTCTTCCGGCTGGGTGGTGGGGATGGGGACTGTAGGGGAGCATTTCTCCAGGGCTTCCCCTCCCGTGGGCCTCCCTGCCCAGCCTGGCTGCTCTGCCCCCTCAACTCCCCCCTCCCTCCCTGCTTTCCAAGTGCCCACCGCCACCAGGGGCGAGCATGGCCTGGGGTCCGGAGGCCACCTGCCCTTGTCCTCCCAGAGGTCCTGAGCCAGGTCATCGGGGGTAGCGGACAGGGCAGCTGGGCCCAGGATGGGCATCCTAGTCCTCCCCACTGCTCGAGGCTTGACCGCCAGGGTCAGGAACTCGGTGGCTCCTTCCCTGTGATGGGCCGAACCCCCAGCCTGGGCAGTACAGGCTAGAGGAGGTGCTGGAGAGGGGGCCCCAGGTCAGACCTCTCTGCAGACGTGGCTCTGCTGCCCCCTCCTCGTCCCAGGGCCCCGTCTGGCCTCCAGCTGCTGCGTCTGGCCACGCCCTTTGACCATCCTGAGCAAGGCAGCCTTTGCCAAGTGGCAGGGGGTGGGTCCGTGGCCCCAGCAGGGAGGACAGGCACAGGTCCCAGAATCCAGTCACTGGTCTGCGGGGGCCTTGGCTGCCCTCCCAGGGTCCAGGATGAGCTCCGCCCCCTCCCTGCCAGCAGGGAAACTGAGGCACAGTCCCACCCACAGGCTGCCCACCCACAGCCGAGGCCCTGCTGTACGGCATCCTGCAGCTGCAGAAGAAGATCAAGCGGGAGAAGAAGCTGAGGATCTGGTACCGCAGGTAGGGCCGGCCCCTCCGGCCCCTGCAGCACCCCTCAGGATGGTCAATAAACCGATAGACCCAGCTGGCCTCCCCCTCCCCCTCCCTGCGCGACCGGTGGGCAGTGTGGGCTCTGGGGGTGTGAGAGGTCAGTGCTGTCCTGGGCAGGCCCCGTCCCACCTTCTGTGCACGGAGACACTGAGGCCCTGAAGGAGGGGAGTGGACGGGCCCAAGAGCCTGTGGTGAGAAGAGCGGCTCCACGTCTAGGGGTGAGGCGGGGGTCCTGGGGAGCACGGCTGGGTTTGAAGGTTTTGCTTTGTTTGGAGGCTCAGCCTGACCTGACCGGGTGGGACCAGAGACTCAGTGGCCGTGTGGCCCTGATGAGCGCACCCCCTCCGTACCCCAGCAGCCAGCTGAGGGAGGAGGTTGACAAGCTTTACATCTGCTACGATCCACTGGTCCTGTGGGTCTGCTGTGGGCACGGGCGGGTCGCGTGTAGGGTCACATGCCGCTCAGAGGTGGTGGTGCGGAGCGGCCCCATCTCCCGGGGGGCCCACTTAACAGATGGTGTTTTGCTGCTTTTACTGTTTGGAGGGGCAGGAGAAGTCAGTGAAAGCACACGGTCCTGCTGATTGGGCACGCCCAGGGTCAGCATTTATTTTGTCCTCAAGGATGCGGACAGGGAGGTCACGGTATTCCCACTGCAGGGACGGTCAGGGAAGTTTACCCTCTGTCCCACTGTGGGTGTGGCCGGACTCGAACCCAGGGCTGAGAGCCCGGAGCCTGCACCCCTGGCTGCAAAAGCACTGAGTGGGGGCACAGGGACAGCGGTGGTTGAGCCAGGGGCCTGGGTGGGCTCAGTGCTTGGTGACCAGGGGTGTGATCATCTGCGGGAAGGCGTAGTAGCGGCACTCAGCGGGGGGGACCAGCTCCATCAGCTCCGTGCGGATGTTCTCCCGCCTGAAGCCCGCCTCCAGCAGGGCTGGCACCTGTGTCTCCTGGGGGGTGGGGGAGCGCCAGGTCGCTTGCAGGGCCCTGGGGCCTCACGAGACACCCGCAGCACCCACTCTTCCTAGAATGGTATTCACAATTGCCAAGGCCCCTGGGAGCTGGGCACGGCAGCCCGACTGCTGACCGACAGAACCAGGAAGCCCGAGTTGGGGTGGGCATCCTCCGGGTGTCTAAACTCAAGGTAGCAATGTCCTGACTCTCGTGGGGCACCAGCAGGCTGCCCACCGCACACCCAGCAGCAGGGACAGCATGCCTAAACCTACACACCTGCTGGGTGGAGGAGGGCAGAGTGAGGCGGGATGCCTGGGTGGGGAGCCTGGACTGGATCCCTGTGTCCTGAGGGCACTGGGGAGCCACGGAAGGCCGTTGAGCTGAGACCTTACCTGACTTGTAAGTGGAGGCTCACAATCCACCCAGGAGACCAGGCCCTGAGGCCAGGGACCCTCCCCAGGTCACAGGCTACTCCCGCCGCCGCCCCAAGGTTGCTGCCTGGCTTGGGGCTGGGGCGTGGACCCACAGGGAGCTCCCGGGCTGCCACACCTCGAACATGGTGGTGATGTCTGAGTACTTGGACTTCATCAGCTCCCCCCAGGACGTGAGGTTGCAGTAGGTGAGGATGCCTCCAGGCTTCAGCAGGCGAAAGGCATGGCCCTGGGCAGGGACAGTGGTCAGGACGGAGGTCTGGGGTATGGACAGAAGCCACTGCCCAGTGGGCCTCCCACCCCCCAGCAGGACGGAGAAACAGGAAGGAGAGGTGCTCCGTGTGTGAACGGCAGCCACCTGCACTCACCCCTGGGGGTGACCGTCCCCCCAAGCAGGTCCTACCCTGATGAAGTTGAACTGGTGTGTGTGCCAGGTCTCCTCGGACAGCGGGTACGTGTCATACAGGATCCCTGCACGGGAAGCGGGGTGGGGGCCAGAGCTCAGCGGTGTGTGCACGTGGAGACGGGCCCCGCCCAGAGCTCACAGCATGCTGCCTCCTCCGGGGACAGCAGGGAAGCGTCCCCCACAGCTGTTCCTCCGGGGTCTGCCAGGCCCCCCCCCCCCCAGTGCAGCACTGCTGTGTGTTCCGTACAAGGTCCCTCTGCAAGCCAAGGACGGGGGCTAGTGGTGGAAACTCAGGCAGAGGCGCCCCCTCCCCCGGCTCCCAGCCCCCGCCTCACCATCGAAGTGGCCATCTGGCAGGGTAGGTGTTACGTCCTCCCACAGGCCTTTCAAGGGAACCACCTAGGGGCCCGGGAGAAAAGAGAAGGTTGAGGTCAGGTGTCCAGGCTCTCCCCACCTGCTGTAAGGGAGAGGGCAGAGGAGCTCCCAGGGGAGAAGACCACTTCCTCCATCTCAGCGGCTACCCAGCCCTCCCCCGGGGGCAGCGCAGGCAGAGGTGGGCACCTTGTGTGGCTGCCGCTGGGCCCAGTCCTGGAGCCTCTGGAAGACGCTGTCATTGCACTCAATGATCCAGTGCTCATCGATGGGGACCTCCTGCACCTTGGAGGCCGCGATCGCCATGCCGAAGCCCACCTCCAGCACCCGGCCCCCTGGTCACACAAAGAACCCAGTATCACATGCCAGGCTGGGGCTGGGCAGCTGCCTGGAGGAGGGGGCACAAGGGCAGGGCCTTTGCGGAGAGAAATGTTTGCCACAAGGCCGGGAGGGCACAAGTAGGGCAGAGGCGGAGGGTGGTTTGGAACACAATAGGCCTGAGCGGGAGCGGCATGGGCTCTGGCCAGGGACGTGTGGGCAGCCGGTCTGAGGCCTGGCCCCAGTGGGGAGGGCAGACCCTGGACTTTGAGCCCTGGTAGCGCTTATCTCTTGAGTTGGTTACTTTTGTCTACCCTCCTTGCTACAATGAAACGGGGGTGGGGGTGGGTTTGAGGCCTGGGGCCTGGAACACCTGGGAAGGAGGTGGGTCCCCACTGGCCCAAAGACAGGCAAGGGGGACACCCCAACTATGCAGGGACGCTGGGTACGCTTATTGGCCAGGTAGAAACACGGCCGCCGGGAGGACCCCCGCCCCGCCCCGGGGCACCCCGCAGTCTCTGACCTAGGCACAGGGCCACCCCTACAGCTGTTTCCCAGCCTCAGCTTTCCCGGAGCTATTCTTAGCCCGGGCGGGGCTTCCGGGGACCCCGGGGCAGGAACATTGCCCGCGTGTGCCTGGGCAGCGCCCCCCACTCGGGCCAACACGGCCTCCCCGGCTTCATGCGGGGATAGCGGCCGAGCTCCACGCGAGGTCATCGTCGGAGAGCCTGTCCCCATCTGCGGGGTGGGGGCCCGTTACCCCCGGATAGGAAGTTCCGATACTTAGGAGGCGCCGGCTGTGTGCAAGCCCCTGCCGGCAGCACCCGCTTTTATTTCCCCGTTGCCCCCCGCTAGCCTCATTTTGCAGGCGGGAAAACAGAGACACGGGAGGCTCGGGTGCACCTCAGCTGGAGAGCGGGCTGGACACCGGATCTGAGCGACCTTCAGCCTCAGTTTACCCCTGCGCGCCCGGCTACCTTTGGAGGAGGCGGCGGCCGCCAACGCGTGCATGTAGGGGGTCTCCCAGCGCTCCATCACCGGCTTGCCGAGGATCTGCAGGTGCATGTCCGCCGCGTCGTAGGCCGCGGGCGCCGCCTGCCACGCGGGGCTGCAGTTCTCGCCGGGGGCGAAGATGGGGGGCACGGCGGGGGCGCTCATGCTGCGGCTGGAACGCGCGCCTGGACTCGGCTGGCGACGCGCGGGCCTTGTCCCTGCGAGGCCTTCTGGGCCGGGGGGCGGGGCCGGGGGCGGGGCCGGCCCGCAGGTCGGGGGGCGGTCCCGGGACGGACCGCGCGGTGGACCCGGGGGCCCCTAGCGGCCGCCGCGCGGAAGGCGCCCTGTGCAGTCTATGCAGGTGGCACTCGCTAAATGTCACCCAATTTAAGCGATGCCCCGGAACGCCCTGCCTGAGACAGAAGGCAGGTTATATTTGTTAGGTGTTGCTGTGTAACAAGTGACCCAAAGGTGCCGCTTCAGACAACACACCTTTCTTAACCCTTAGCTGGGTCCTCTGTTTCACGCCCTCTCAGAATGCGCTGTCAGGAGGCCAGCCAGTTATGGGGGTGCCTTTGAGGGCTCCCCTAGGGAAGGATCCGCTTCCAAGCCCATTCACTGGCCGTTGGCGGGAGGGCCTCCCCAACGTGACAGCATGAGAGTCTGCAATGTCAGAATTGTTTGAGACCTAATCACAGAAGCGACATCCCTTCACCATGGCCAGGCACACGAGGGCAGGGATCTCACAGGGCCAGGAAGAGCAGAAAGCGGAGGCCGCTGGGGAGCTCTCAGAGGCGGCTGCCCACACAGACCCCAGCGAAAGCAGTGAGGGGGTGGTCAGCTCAGAGCCTCCCCTGTGGTTTCAGTGTCCCCTGACATAAGGGACCTCCCAGCGGTCACCTACACGCAATTTGGACCACATCCCAGAAAGTAGCCATGGGCACAGTACCGTCTGGCTGCCAACTTAGCCAAACGGTCTCTGTTCCAGCTTCAGCTTCCTCTTCTCCCAAATGGGCTAACCACTCTTGTTCCTGCTCCTGTTGGTGAATGAGTGACACGTGGTCCTTCCTTGTGTCCACTCTTTGTGAGAGGCCCTAGTGTGTGCTGCAACTGTCTGCACGTCACAGCCTGGAATCAGAGAGGGAAAGTGACTTCCTTGAGGGTGCACAGCAAGTTGCGGCAGAGAGGATGAGAGGAGGGATGTATCTGACTCCAGTCTTTTTTTTTTTTAAAGATTTTATTTATTTATCTGACAGAGAGAGACACAGCGAGAGAGGGAACACAAGCAGGGGGAGTGGGAAAGGGGGGAAGCAGGCTTCCTGCGGAGCAGGGAGCCCGATGTGGGGCTCGATCCCAGGACCCTAGGATCATGACCTGAGCCGAAGGCAGACGCTCAGCGACTGAGCCACCCAGGCGCCCCTGACTCCAGTCTTAGAAGACCGTGTATACGTATATAATATATATACTTCTGATTAGAAAGGTGACACGTTTGAGCAAAACATTTAAATGTTACAGACTTGGCATCCGCCTGCAGATCACATCCCCCTGCTGTTGTTTTGGTA